CTTCCCTAATGACTAATGATCAAATGATAACTGTAACACTGTGCAGTCAAGTGGCCAACATTATTTAAAGTGGAGCTCTGTAGTGACTAGATACTCCTGCTCAGACCAATATATGTGGACATCCCCAATGATTAGTGTTCTGTACACAACATCTACTGTATTGTTGTGCACAACTGTGCCACACTCAGTGATGTCCATTACCTATGATGTCCATAGGGTGGTCTACACAAAATATAAATTCATTGCTAGAGAGCACTTGACTCAACTGCTTGTGAGTCCACCTGAAGTGTTGCTCATGCTACATCTTTCTGAAATGTCTGTGAAGATTGATTAACACTGGACCCCTATGTGACCTGGCCAGCAAACATAGACTGTAGAAAGTAGATGCTCCATCTTTGCAATAATTTTTGTTAGCATCAGTTCCGAGGCATTGGAAACTCCATGTTACAGCAACCTCCTTACATTTGACCTGGAGAGGTTACTGTAACATGGAGTTTCTAATGCCTCGGAACTGGCACTAAGGAAAATTATTGCAAAGATGGAGGGTAGTCTGGTGTCGATTTTGGTGAGGTGTCATGACTTATCTCCCATATCATCTCCCAAATCATGGCTTATTATTGAGGGACTTTGTCTTGGCAGTAATATTTTGCCAGGTAAAAAATTGCTCGCTGTGACCACCCATGTCAGAGAACGGCAGTGTGCCTTCAGCAAGGACAGCTGGAGCCCAGCCTCCAACAAACAAAGAGACTGTTAAAACCAGCCTTCAAATACTGCAATAATATGTATATACAGTAGCATATACTTTATAGAAGTACAATTCCTAATTACTGGAAGTATATTTCCTCTAATTAGACTCTAGTAGTCATCAATAAAGAGTATGGAACAATGGCTGTGCAATGTGTATTTGTATTTATTGGAATGTGAAAACGATAAATTCTTTTCCTTTTGTGTTGGGAATACATTCCCTGTTAGAAAGTCGGAGGAGAAAGAAATTCTACAATTCAAACTTTTTTGAAAATGATCTTCATGCTGCACGTTTCCATGCCCTTACTACAGTGAGCGATGCTATGCGGCAGAGCGCACAGTTAGACTTTCTGACAGGCAATGACACCTCTTAGCTCCTGGTAAAGTCTGACACCTGAACAAACCCCGTCTCAGTACAACGTGCCAAATCAAATGGGCAACCTGTTCAAATCCCAAATCCCTGAGCAAACAAACCCCTAGAGTCGAAAAGGAAGTTAAAGGAGCCAACAGAAAAAAAGGATCTGTTTCCACATCACCAGAGGCATTGAGTTGGAAGAATAAATAATTAAAGTCATGTTGCACTAAGGCAGGCAATACAAAGATATGCTGGAAGCTATGAAATACCGAAATACCAAGCACATTAAAACACATCCACTGGGACAGCTGGGCCCCTGGGCCTTTTCTACCTGGGGATTAGTTGCCTAGTTTGTGAAAAAGAAAGCAAGGGTGAGCAGTGGGGGTGGGGAGCAAAAGATAGAAAGAGATAATAAGATTACAGACAGAACACTTTCACACACAGGCGATTGATTTTTAAAATTGTGAAGATTTCCCGAAATTAAGGATACAGTGGGTCCCTGTTGTTACATGAAGTATATGAAAGGATTGTATTAAAAAGGACAAATATTTCAGGAATGTCACAACAGGGAATATAGTATACAGGGGTATACCGGGATAGTTTACGTCAGAAAATACCTGACGTATTTCCTTTACTTCAAAAATACCACAGGAATATTGCTACAAGATTGAAAAGGTATATCTTGTTATAAAAATCCCCAAATACTGTACCACTTACTGTATGTGTTGCATCATCTTGTGGCACTGACACTGAGCATTTTCACGAGGGTTTGTTCTAAAGGACCCCAGTGTTCTCTGGGTTTTCATTCTGGTTTGTTGATTATTTAACTGATAACTTACCTGAATTATCTACACCTAACTGAAAAGGCTAAATCAGGCAATTACTATGTCAGTTCAAGATGCTCAGATCAATTACTCAATAGCAAACCAAGCAAGATAAATGGGCTGGATGGCCTCCTTAGGTGCATAATCTTCCTTAATAATTTCTTTCATCGAGATACCAGTTAAAGCAAAGATGCCAATAAAAACATACAGAATCTTTGAAGGGTTCTTCAAAGAGAATTTAGACTATGAAGCAAAAACACTTAAGATCCTCTCTATGACATATCATTTAAGAAACACAGATAATCTGATGTCTGTTAACTCCATGGAGGTACAAGGGAAAGGACAAAAAAGAATATAATGTAATTTACAAAATAATATGTTAGCAGAATTAATTTTATAGTGCACAGTACATATTTTCAAATAACCCTTACCTCCTGAGAGTACGTAGCAAGGTAGGCCTGGCCTCGTTGTGAAAGGTGATGATGATGGATGTGGAGGGAAGTTCAGAAGAATAGTGTAAGGTGGAGCATCTGTAAAACAAAACCAAATCCTACATAAGTATTTTATCATGTACTATAATTAAAAGCTCTCATTTCAGTAAATCCTCACAGAACACAAAATGTGGTTTGCAGTATTTGTGTTCATGAACAGTAATTGCTTATAACAGTACACCGATGTTGCTATGCTTTCAACTGTAATTCGATTCAGTACGTTGTTTTAATTATTTATATAGAAAATATGCTGTTTCCAAGCATACATTTTTTTCAAAAGGCATTACTTTGTCAGAATGGTGTCTAGTTTGTGTGAAAAAGCAAACATAGATGTATATTTAGAGAACAGTTGCTAGGGTAACTAAAACAAAGTTAAATGTCTGCTATCTCAACAGAGCAAAAAGACACAAATGAAATTCTAAATGCTGGCAGAAGTTAAAACCAAGTTAAAAACAGTTCTGTGTAATTGACACATACTGTATGCAGAGAACTCAGTGAAAAACGTGCAGCACATTGAACCTTTATGGTTGTTTGTACTTCCATCACTAATCTGGGTCAAATGTCTTGAAAGAGATAAGAGTATACAGTACCAACACAACAAAAAACAAAAAGGAATTGTGTTTGAGTGTGTGCTCATAGTATTCCCCTCAGGAAAGGAATTCATTTTGATTAAAAGTGTGTTTTATAACACAAGCACAGAAACCTCAAAGAGATAGCACAGCTAAGTCATGTCTGAAAGAACAGTTCATCGGAATCCTGGATGGGTTAACACGCAGTGCTTCAGGATATACAGCATGTGGCTGTGAAACATTTTATTAACTGAAAATGACTGCACCCAAAATGCATGTAAGAGCATGTCTAAATGTTTAAATACAAGTTTTAGCCCATTTTTTCGAGGCTCAAAATAAACTTTTTCATCTTTTCAAATGATAAAGATTGTTAGATATTAGCATTTAGACACAGTTACATCGGTGAATACTAAGTCACCATTTGGTTTTCTGAATAAAAAATATATTTTATATTTTTTTCTCCAAAGAGTTGTACAGTAGGTCTCTGAATATCCTATCTAATTTTGTTTTTGAGTGAATACAAATAGAATTCAGAAACCTTTTTTATTTACAGTGTCCAGGGACATAAAGAATGACTAATGCAAGATATGAAAAGTCTTCACCTTTCACAGGGTTTGATGTCTTTGGCAGATGGAAAAATTTACCTTACAAAAGATGAAAAAGATTAACATATTGTACAATGTAGCTTCTGTACTGTAAGTCATATGCT